ACTGAGATCGTGGCTATCCTTCAGAGGCATGTTGGCATTGAGAACAATGTCGACCTCAACGAAGAGCTTGTCGCCCGCGTGGTAAGCCCGCAGATTCTGGATCTGTCTGATGGACGTGGCGAAGCGCATGGTAAGGTAGAGGACTATTGAAGTGGTCAGGTTAGTTCATGGATGACTTCACTGAATGTTTGACGCATCAACTGGCCAACTGGCTCTACAGCTTGCAATACGTGTTTACGGTTTGAATGAAAGGGAAGAGGAAAAGAGGAAAAGAGGAAACAAAGGCATGACAAGGGGGTGTTATAACAGGGTCTAAGTATAGAAAATGTGGGGAAGATGAAACGGTGAGTTAGAGGGCATGAGAAGGGGACAAGAGAGGAAGAAAAGAAGTTACGCACGGAGGTTTCTCTCATCCGAAGTCGCCGAAAAGCCCGTCAGGTTTCGGACATGGTGCATCGAGGTTCCGCTCCAGTTGACGATGACGACGAGAGACAGCAAAAGACCACCGAGGGCATCAAGCCACCAAATTTTGGCAAAGTAGCCAACAATGGGAAACAGGATGGAGCCAGTGTTGAAAATGACATCGGTCATGGCGTCGTCGGCCCTGCAGGATGGAGAAACCAAAGAGTTAGTTATGAAAGTTCCCCATGTTCCGTGATAGGCGCCGATCAGGAGGCGGCTACGTAAACCCGTTGCGACGCAAACGCTGAGGTTACGACGAAAGAGGAGCAGGGTGCCAGATCAACTTACAACGCCCGAACGCTCGAATTCTTGATGAGACGACACCAGAGCCAGCACAAGCCCTTGATCACCACGGTACCAACCATAATGGAGATGGCCGGAATACCGCTGTAGTTCCCGCGAGGTTAGCATTGCGAGTTTGTGAAAATTGCGGAGCAACTGAGACGTACAGCTGAACGATTTCGTGGTCGGGCGACATGAGACGCTGGATAGCTTCCAGAGCGACCTGGCAGAAGGATGTAACCATTACGATGGAGAAAACCAGCACGCCAAGAGGCTCGAGACTGTAGCGAGTCAGCACGCAGCTCTGAATGCAACGCGGAGGCAGCATCGCGAAAAAAAAAAGTAAGGGGGTAAAATTGATACTTACCGCTGTCTGCCCACGGGATATGAATGCTGGTCATTTTGGCTGGCGGCAATAAGCCTAGTCGTCGTCCACACGATTGCTGTGCTGAGAAAGTCGAGAACCGCGTCGACCAAACTGGCCAGGACTGAGACTGAAGGTACCGAAACGACGACAAGGATCTTTCCGATCAGCAAAGCTGCGTTTGCGATAAAATTGACCCAAATGGCCAAGGTGACGATGGGGTCGCTGCTGTCGAGGTCGGAGTCTTCGAGCCATGGGATCTCGGGCTTAGGCTGATCGGCTAAACCTTCCTCCTCGTCAGAGCCACTGAGAAGTGGGGTCGCCTCGGTGGACCGAAAAATGTCCTTGGGTTTGCGTTTCGCCTTTTGCTGTATGCTGTTTGCCGAACTGCTCTGCTCCGTGCTGCTGTTTTGGGCTGAAGCAGCAGTGCTGCCGTAGGTGAGTCCGCTTCTGGACGGTGGTGAGGTGGGAGTTGGCGACTCCTCGGTAATGGTCTGAGGGACATCGACTGGGCGGTAGGCCGAGGCGTCTAGAGCTTGGTGATACTCGTTGAGCAGGTCGTGGGGCACGGACGAATCCAAGAGCTGGTCGATGTAGAGGTACATGCGAATCAAGTCGTTGTTTCTCTCGTAATATTCGCGGCTTTAGGAATTGACAATGCGCGTTAGCAACTCGCAACTCAACTCGCAAACTGGTACATGGAGAGCAGTCAACGAAGTAGGGGGATTGGACTGGGAATCCCATGTTGCGCCTGGGCAGTCCGGGGCGGCACGATTGCACAGCAGGAACTCACATATGCTTTGGCATAACCTCAAGCTCGGCCTCCGTCTTCCAGTAGCGCTCCCATTGATAGCGTGGGTTGCTGTTGCCGATAAGGCGCATGCTCCTCATCTGAGGGCCGAAAATGAGTTCGCTTAGACGGCGCTCTTCGGCGGCGGAGCGGTGGTGGTGGTCATCGTCCGAGTCCCTGTGCAGGAAGCCAAGCAGAGAGGTGCTCTCATGTTCCTCTTCGTCGTGACCCAGCTGGTGGTAGGCCGGGCTCTTGAGCGACTCTCGCAGAGTGGCATTGGAGCGGTTCCGGATGAGCGATACCAAGGCGCCGCTGCCTCTGGTGGCCAGAAGTGATGGGTCGCTATCGGCATTGAGTACTGAGGGACGTTTGAATGAGCCTACTCGTGGGCTGCTCGAGCGATGATCCTGCGGCGAGCTCATCGTGGCCGGAGGGAAATAAAGAGGCGCGATGACGGCAGAGGTCGATTGGGGAGGGAGACGACCAGGGAGGAGGAACAGAGAGAATGGAGTGGAGCTAGGCGGAAGGGTAGGTAGGTAAATTGAGATTGAAGTGAAGGAGGAAGAGAGAGAGAGAGAAGAAGAAAAAAGGGAAGAGTAGCCGGCGCGATGCGAGGGAGAAGGCCAAGATAATAGATGAGATTGATAATCTCGTGGTCGGCGTGCAGCAGGCAGCTCCAAGCTGTGAATTGGCAGGTACCGGCGCGCGTGGACGTGTAAAAAAAAGGCGGCCCCCCAGTGACGGAGTATGCAGTATGGACCCGGAGGGTCTGAGGAGACGAGCAGCCGGCAAGGTAAAGGTACTTACCGGGCAAGGCAAGGCAAGGCAAGGCAAGGTAAGGCGCGGCGAGACAGTGGGTTGGGGTCTGGGGGCTTGGTTTGGATGGGGAGGGGACCTTTTCGAGAGAGCTCACACTCGCGTAGAGCTTCCTGGGGCTACGATTCGACAAAACCAAGAGACGCTTGGGGAGCTTCATGGTACGGGCGTTGGCAGACCCGACCAATGTTGTATCGGAGGAGTGGCTACTGGCGTTTGAACCTGCGCAACGCCATGGATTCTGCTGTAGCTCCTCTGGGCGCTTTTCCAGGTACGTTGGTCTTTCTCTCTCTCTCTCCCCTTCTCTCGCTCTTTCTCGTTGTCTACGGAGTACCTATTTCGCTGATCAGATGGGCAACGAGGGAGCTCCCCTGTCATCATCGAGGCAAGGCAGACAAGCAAGGTAAGGTACCTTGGCCTATCTATCCGTACCTCAGTACTTACCTTACACTTAGTACGGAGCACAGATATGTACAGATACAAATAATACCTAAGGTAGTTTCGAGTTGCCCTTCCCGTCCACCCGAAGAACGAAACCCCCGGCCCTGGCCTCAGCAAGAAAAAAGAAAAAAAAAAAAAAGGTTTGCCCATTTCCATTTCCAAGAACGCCCCCAGCCAACCAGGTCGCGACACTCTCAATTGGGGCGAGGCAATTGTAGAAAAAGATTGGAGCTTTCAGCTGGAAAACGGGGACGACCTCGCGCCAAGTTGCCTTTTGAGCCGGTGTCGGCCCTTCAGCATTGTCTCCCGTGTCTCGTTCTGCCATTCTGAATGGTCCCTCCATGGGCCATAGGTAGGCCACCATCTCTTGAAGGTTCTCTGCAACCCACGGACTCTTGGGGTTTCTGGCACTTTGTGCTATGTACATCAAGCCTCTCTTACCTTGGAGGAATACTCGAAACTAGGTTTGACCTTTCAGCTGCCGGGTTCATGACTTCATCGCATAACTTCGCCAGCCCTTCTCTTTCTCTTCTCTCTGAACTCTGAACTCAACCAGAGCACACACACACACACACACACACACACACACAAGTACCTTGTGGAGAGCTCACAGTCGCGCCAATACTTCCTCATCTCGTTAGATTGATTCGGCTAGTCCTGAGTGAAAAAAGTTGAGTACAGCCCCCGAGGGCCCCAACATGGCAAATTAGTGCCCTTTCTCCCGACTCAACCTGCCCTTTTACCGCCACTTCCGAGTCCATAATCCATTTCAACCCCCGCGGCCCGCGTTGGCCCCTCATACATACTACGTACTCCGTACTGTATTGCCTTTGTCCAGAGTTGGTTTAGCCGAGCACCAACTGACTAAGTTCAAACTATCTGAGGTACCCCCAGCCTCCAGGGCCCCCAATTGTCTGAACCATTCCCATCACTTACCAAAAGGAAGCTCTACTCGAGCCACCGCCAAGATTCAGATCAAACGGTAACTGTTTGCTCCCAACTCGACCCTGCTTATCCCTTCCCCTTTCCTAGGTTAGGAACTCATTTTTTGAGACTCGTTCCGAGGCGCAGCACATCGGCAAAAACGGACAATCAAGTTGTCTCCCGTCTCAACTCCGGCATAAGAGACCACGGGGTTTCTAGTGGCCATGCTTGCATAGCGCCGTGGCTTGGCATTACGGCATGTTCGATGGTAACCCAGGACTTGCGAATAGTCCCTAAACATTATCCGTATACACACTTGCAACCGAATAGTGACAGCAAGACAGAGAGAACGATATACTCTTGTCGTTCAACGTCAAAAAGACTCAAGAAACCCTGGCTCAACTCCCACGTTTACCCAATTCCTTCAGCCCTGCACTCGTCATTGGCTCCTCAATAAGGAAGTTGGTTAGGGGTTCCCCTCCCCTCCCCTTCCCCTCCCCGGGCCGTGGACCTGCAGAACATCTCAGCAGAGCCGCATCTTCTTCTCATTCGCAGCAACTTTTGGCGAACCTTTTTTTTTTTTTTTTTTGTACCTGGCCGCCATCACCTGATTCAACTGATGAGGGGTCCTCCGCTTCGGCTCCGGCTCCGGCTTCCCTTTCATAATCACGACAGCTTATCCTTCCCACAGTCCAAAGAAAGAATAAAAATACACGATTCGGAGACAGGCACGGATGCACCCCCGTTTTGCTGCCTTCGGCTTTGATTGCTGCCCGGACACAGGCAAGAGGGCCGAACCTGGGCCGATTTGGGGCTTGGGCTTTCTTTTGTAATGGACGATGTTATTCACGTCTTCTTTCCTTTTGAACTGATTCACTTTCTTTGGCGAGAGCCTCTCTCCGGTGCTTCTTCTCCTTCTCCCTCAGGTCTTCTTATTGGCTTCAGATCAACAACAACCGACAAAAGACCACCATAGATCATGACTAGGGACAATGTCGCTTGGCGGTCGCAGCTCGAAATATGTGGTCCATTGGCTCAGAGAGTTCTTTCATTGAGTGCCCTCTTTTTGAAAATCGAGCCGAGTAGAGAAGAGCCGCAGGATGTGTTCCTGATCCAGTTCCTACCATGGATAACCTCTCTGGGCCATGTTTCCTTGAAAACTTGCCTTCATGGGCCATCTGTTTGGTTGACAAACTCCCTTTCAATGCAAACATGGCTTGCTCGGCTCTTTGCCATGGTAGATGGGCAACTGTACCTGTTCGTGACCCGATGGCTCTTTGAGGGCCGTAAATACCCGCCAGGCCTTTGACTCTGAATGTTGCAAGAAGCCTACACAACTGGCCACATAAGTAGACGCTGCATCTCGAAAAGACCAAAGGGACTGAGCCCAGAAGCTGACCCCAGGCTCATACAACGCCTAGCGGTGAGTCTGACTGATGACGTGTGACGACGTTGAAGTCTTGTGTCACGAAAGCTCCCCGACGTGTTTGCCCCTATACTACCAACGTCTCGATTTACTGCTTCTTCTTTTCCAAAATCTCCTGCACGACCTTTGCGGTGGCCTTGACAATGAGACCGTGTTCGACACTGTGCATACGCTCTTCCACATCTGCCAGACTGTCACCCGAGCGAATCTCGACCTCCTCAATGAGGATCTATCACGGTCGTTCGTCAGCATAACGTGCAACTGGGGAAGGGGGAACACCTCAGGGAGTAGACGAACAGGCTCTCCACGGTCCACCGTCTCAATGACATAGTGAATCATTGCTCCGGTCCGGTTGTTCTCAAGCTTGCCGGCCTGGAAGTCTTCGTATGCCCTGCCAATCGCGTTGGCACCATCATAACGGCCTGGCGAGCAGTGTTAGTCACATAATCTTGCATACATCACAAATTTCCCCCTTTTCCCCTCTCTGCTTCTAGAGTATCACAGGAAGTTCGGAAAGACCTACCAGGCAGCGCCGGATGAAGATTAATAACCGGAACGCCAGCAGCCTCCAACGGCCGCAAAAACGGCGCGCTGAACACGTGCATCCACCCGGCGAGGACGACGAGGTCCGGCTTGTCCTGCAGCACGAGCTCGGCCAGCGCCGCGTCGTACCGGCCGCGGCCCTCGCACAGCTTGGCCTCGTCCTTTTCGCCCTTGGCCGTGAAGCCGCCCGAGACGAGGTTGAAGTACCGCGTCGGGATGCCCGCCTTCTCCGCGCGCTGGACGGCGTAGGCGGTCTTGCGGTTCACAATGACCTTTTCAATCTTGCTTTGCGGTACGGTGCCGTCGGCGACCGCGTTGATGACGGCTTGCAGGTTCGTGCCGGAGCCGGAGCAGAGGACTACGAGACGGCAGTTTTCGGTGGTGGATGATGACGACATGGTAAGATGTGTGATGTTGGTGAATGTGAGTGTGAGATACTGGGTTTGAGTGAGTTGACCTGACGAGGGGTGGGAAAAAGTGACTTCGAGTCCTCTTCCCTTGGAGGGGTAACTCTCGAGATATTCTGGTTGAGACGGGTCTCGCTGTTTCTGTGACCAATTTGGCTGTCCAAGTGTGGGTGAAACAAAAAGGCAGCAATTTTGAAGCTAATTTCACAGAGCCTAAGGGGTGACGCTTTTCCCGGCCTCTTGAATCTTGTGGATGTTTCCTTGGGATTCAGATGTTTGTCATGGGTGGATTCTGGTGTCTCGTTACACAAAGTATTCACTTCAATGTCTTGGGGTTGTGCCTTGCGCCAGAAGTTTAAAAAAATTCTGTGAGCGCATCAGAGGAAGGGCGGGGTAGCTTGTCATTGGCCGGGCAGTCACTTGCGGCGGGAACCAACCAAAGTGTGGTTTGAAGACGGCCCGGGAGTCTGAACGTTCGGTGCTACCGGTCGTTCTTGCCTGAGTTTTAACTTACTCGGGTTTGCATATGAGCACTGCAGGTTCACTCAACTCATCGAGAAAATGTCAAGAACATTGGCGTACACTGAGATTCGATGTCGACTATGAGTTGCAAGTGAGGCATTGTAGAAAATGAGAGCTACTGAGCTGGGTAGCATCCTTCAAGACTTGGGCCATCGTCCAAGTTAGGGGCAATTTGATGTTTTGAACAGACGGTAGGAGGCTTTATGAGTATAGCCATGGCTGAAAGGAACAATGTGACCAGAATATGAAAAGAAACAAGAAATTCCAATATCGGGCTAAGCTTAAGCCAAGCACAGAGCTTAGTAGTCGAATATAGCCCGAGACTGCGCCCAAGAGCTCTGGCTGGTGGATTGCTCGGTAGGATTTCAATGTTTCCACTCACATAGTATTACTTGGGCAACAAGCAATAGTGAGACGGGGCCCAAGAGCTCGTATCTCGTGATGGTACCCATTTCGTGATAAGAAGTGTTACGTGTATTGAGAAAATACCACGTTCTGTCCTCACCGCTCCATTTGATGACGAGAAATTCTCCGCCAACGGGCATGGCCGGTCTTAACGGCAGGAGATAGAAGTGATTGCATCTGTGGTGTCCCCATCAGACACGACGTCTAACGCGAGAGATTGACAGCACAGGTTGCCGCCTCGAAATGGCCTTGGCTCGCTAATTCTCCCTAGCCTGACTATATGAGCTTGTTGTGACCTGCCTCTAACCGACGGACTTTTAGTCTAACCATGGTGAATGACCTAGGTATCCGTCAACCGAAATCCCATATGAGGCATGAGCCCAAGTCAATAAAAATGCGTTGCGGCTTGCTCATGCGCCCACGAGCGGCCATCGTCAGATCTGTGATCTCCGACCCCTGCCAACCAGAAGCGCCCGCATGCGCCATACTCGGACGCGAAAGTACCCTAGAGGCCCGGCCCCTCAACGGCGGAGAGCAGCAAAACGCCGTTTGACCGTCCATTTCCGCAGGGGAATAAACCTTCCTAAACAGGGGTCAACTCTGGGGCGGCAAGGCAGTCGACGAGACCAAGACGGACCAAACCAACACGGGTGTCCAAGGCGACATGAACATTCCCCCTTTGAGCTTCGCCCTGGCATGTATTGGTAGCAACGCAGGATGCGCCGCAAGTGACGGGGCTTTAATCCGCCGACTATTGACGAGGGTGTGCCAATGTGAGTGTAATCCATTTTGTTTGGAGTGTTCTCCCTTTTTCTTGCATCGTGGTGCCGCATTATTGAAAGCTCATGGAATCGGATCGGGGCAATGACCAGCTAGTTCGCTGTCATCGGCTCGGATTGGGTCGACCTGTCTCGATCGAATATCGGCCGTGCCTTATTGAGATTGAATTATTGACGGACGGGATTGGCTAAGTTGCAATTAGGCTACTCCGGCCTGGGCGGCGGCCTACAGGCCAGAGCGCGACGGACAGTTGCAGAGCGGGAACGGACGCGATGGTTGTCCTACTGCCTCGACGGCCATGCGCGTACGGATGGATACTTGAGAGTGGGAAATGCAAGACGTCGTCGACGTAGGCAAAGGTAGGTAGAACCGTCAAATGTATCTGTCCGTGGCAGGCTGCGCCAAAAAGGTACTTTTATTTCCTACTAGTACATCAACTTCGATAAGGCCATTGTCGGGGGGGGGGGGGGGGTGGCTTTGCTTGTTACTTGCATCATTCTGCGGGTTCTCCCATGGACCAAAATCATCCTGGCAGGATTTCAAGATGGAATTTTGAAATTTTATGGAGACAGCGCAGCTTCCTAGTCATGCTAGTATACTATATTTGATGGAAGACTATCCTTAAGAGACGGCGTAAATCTCTTTTAGCTGCCAGCTTGCAGTTTTTTTTTTTTTTTTTTTTTTCATCTGGTACGGGTAGAGAGTCCAACAAATGGGTTGGAGCTACGAGTTGTCGATACGAGGCAACTGGGTACGTGTGCGGAAAATGTGGAAAAGTGATTGGCGTTCACAACAAGTCCGCAATCCTGCAGGTAGGTGGAGAGGTGTGAGTTGGCCCGTTCCAAGTTGAAGACCCTCATCAGCGGCCTTCCAAGTTCCATTTGACTCTTTCAGTCTCGACTCTCGAGGCAGAGTGCCATAAATCTTTACTCAGCCAGAGAAACCGCGTCACTGTCAGGCCTTCCGAGTGTGTACCTTATTCGGGAAGTGGAGGGGAAAGAGGGACACGAACTTGGTAAGGGACAGGCCGACGGGACGTCCCTTCGTCCCTTCTCACATTTTCCGTGTGTCGTCCCTTCCTGCTTCTTCAGAAAGCACGCCACTTCAGTTGATGAATTGCGGATATCAATCAGAGAAGGCACCTTACCCAACTCAAGGCAGGTAGCCATGGCATGGTTGCAAAACCATCAACGGTACGGATAAAGTACCCCCTCAACACGAAAGACACCTTTTCACACGCGTCTTCGCCAGATATCAGCCACAGGTGGCAGCAGTAGTAAAGTACAGACAAAGTGACAGAATCTTGGTGCCTGAAAGAACCACTATTCAAGCTTCCAGGACAGTCTGTCTTCAGTGTTTGGGGAGACCTTCTCTGGCTACGAGAGTAGCGTCACGCTAACGCCCCATCTCGGCCATGTTCTTGCATTCTTCCTCTCATTCGTGTTTAATCTCTTATGCCAAGGTATTATCAAGGCCGGAGCACCAGGTATATCCTGTCCGGCGGCTCTTTTCAAGTATTCGTCCTTGAGAATTATGGGCCAAAGTCGTGATCGGAACAAAAGTACCGGTAGATGGCGACATAGGTATCCGTACTGACAGCGGCGATATGAGTTGAAATAAAGATTCGGGAAGGCTTCTCCCAATGATCCCGCTTTGCTCTTGTCCTGGTCAATTCTGTTTTGCGTGATTGCGGGATGGAATTGTCCTATAAGCAGCCGGGGCATACCTACGGAAGAGCAACGGAGGTCCAAGCAAGGTACCTTGCAGCGGCAGCCCATGCTCGCCATACCAACGTTGCCTAAGTAAGGTACATACATAGGTACTTTCGTCAGATGCCAGCTTCCAGGTTCACCCTCTCCTCGGGAGCCTCCAGCCTGCCTTCCACACCGGTCAACTTCCCCTTCCAGGCTCTTGCCCCTCGCCTCCATTCACGCCCCCTCCCACATCGCAATTGGCACCCTCAAAGCTTCAATTCAGCGAATCGGCATACGATTCGCCTCCCACAGGCTCTGCCAGACTGCCAGCATCTTCTCACAACTCGTCTTAGTCTTGAAGACGCAACATGTGGCTGCCGATGGAACGGCGTCCCATATCCACACCTGCGTCAAAAGGTTGTCTCCTGTTTTCTTCCTTGCAACCAGAGAGAGAGAGGGAGAGTCGAACGCATCTTGGACAGACGCTGTGCACAAGACATCGAGAAGAATCAAGCAAGTCTACGAATGCCTCGTCCGAGTCTCGTCTCGTCTCCATCGCCTATCTGCCGGACGACGTGCTTTTCGGTCTGGGCATTCTTGGACGACGCTCTGGAGCCTTCAGGAATAAAGGAAGTCAGATGTCGTACGTACAGAGTACGTATTCGTACATGCACGGGACAGACATCTGCTCTGCCCTGCCAACCACCCGCCGTGAACCCGACACGATCCCGGCCACGGCCTACAGGGAGCCGTCCTTTGTGTCTTCTCTAAGCCGGGGTGACTGGAAATACTATCTGTCCAACGTCCCAGACGACATGCCATGCCACCATGGGAGCGACCGAGCTTGGGTCTGATCAGGTCCATTCGTTTTGATCACACACTCCTGGATAGAATGCGAGTGACTGTCAATTCGAACATCCATCGTTGCTTTGTCTCCCGGACTTGGATCGGTCTCGGACAAATTTACGGCGGGTTCGTTACAGACCACGTCTCCTCTGTTCTTGGTAAGCTCATATTGGCGTGGATCTGTCAGGTTGACCGAATCAAGGACCAAGCTTTGCTTCGGGATAACGCAAAGTTGAGATGAGACGGTTACTCTCGAAACATTTCATCATCAGCAATACTCGGGAGTGGCAGTCATCCGGCTTCCGCTGACCAAAAGTCATCAGATGTCTGAACCTCGAGTCCTAGACACGCAACCAGCCATCCGTCTACACACTCTGCAGCCACTTCTCGAAGCCCCATACTGCCGACGGAAAAGGAAGTATGAGACATGGCATGAGCCAGGGAAACGTTGTCGTTGCTGGTCGCCGTTGTAACTTGTGTCCATTAGCTCACTAGCCAAGGAATCTCGACCTGCAGTCGTCTCCAAAATTCGACGGCGGCGGCTCCGAGTTTAATTTTAAGACCTCGAATCGCTACCGAGGCTGCCGACAGTCTACAAAGGAGGACCCAGCTTTCTCAGTGCACCAACTAATTAGTTCGTATGCCCTACCCAAAGCCTCCTGCTTATCCGCGCTCGTCTGTTCATCCGGATGGCTCTCTTTCCAAAGTCAAATTCGGCCGATCGCCTGCAGAAGCACGTTCTGTCCTCGTTTTTTCAGCATATCTTGCATGGCAGGCCAAAGTCTGGGTGGCGTTTACTTCAGAGCTTCCAACATTTCAGCCGATGTCGAGAACTCGCAGCCCCGGGCGACGAAAATATGCAGGACACCTCAGCGAGAGGCTGGGCTGAGTGCCATGGTGCAACAATTGGATGGCGGGTGCAGCTGAAGCCTGAGAGGATGGGGTACCGCATCGGTAACGAGAACCTTGAAGACGGACGACGCAGTGCGACATTCGAGTAGCTCATACCGCTACGCTACTCCGCATGAAGAAAGAAACAAGCCGCCCCGAGTATGATTACCGCCAAAGAGGGTGTGCGGCCAGGGGGAAATGGACGATGGACGCCACCCAACGACACTAATCCCAATGGGCGATTCCTTCAAAGGGTTCAATCCAGGACCAAGAGTGACAATAGCGAAATCCCCCGGGGCCGTGGACCATGTCGTACACTTGAACCAAGAACGAGAGAGCAAGCCATCAATTGCTGGAGGATCCAAGAAAATGGCATCGGCGGAAACGAAGGCGTCTCTCATCTCCCGTTTTACCATCCGGTCTTTTGGGTAGGGTTTACTCCGTTCGCAGCACGCGGGCTTAGACCAGTGTTCAGCA